ACAGTTTGAGCAAGCACAATAACAGCCTTTGCGAGCCAATGGACCGCAACTTGACTGTTGACGACGACCATCTCTTCTTGGCCAGTGCGCCCGCCACCTTTGGCTAGTCCGAGATCGGTGGTAGAAAGTGACATCACCCAATTTTTACGTGTGACACAGCTCATCACTGCGCAACACGCCATCGAAGCATACAAGCAGCGGCAAATTGACACCAACTGCCAGTCCTGCCATACCCAGCAGAATGAGCGGGCTCACTGGCAGCACATGACTGGGTGGCTCCACTCGTTGCCGAACTTTTATCAGTTTCCAGTCTTGTTTGAGTTTACCTTGGCATGCTGGCGTGTAATGCTGCAGCCCCGCCAGCCCATCACTGGCCAGTGCTTTACGCTGACCATCAGCGTAAAGAAATTCCACCCACTCGCCATGTTGTCAAACGACAAAACTGCTCTTGTGTATCTCTGGATCACGCCCTTGGAGACCATCTACGCTTTCAAAGTCAGAGCGGGTCTACATGGCCTGTCTTTCGCTCGCACCATCGAGAAGGTACGTCACTAGGATTATTACCTGCGTCAACGTAGGCAGTACGACACCAGATGCATGAGCAAGCGCAAGCCTACTGCTAGTTCTTCCTTTTGCACTGATGGCACACACCACCTGAGAGTTTTCCACTTTACTGAGTGACAACAGCCTGAAGTTCAAGTACGTTGACGCGGGCTTCGTGTTTCCATTCATAACCATGAACAGTCGCCCACTCAAAAAGCTGTGATTGGACGCCACCATGAGGCCGAGACGTTGCCCGAAAGGGAACTCCCACATCCAGGCGAATATCAGCGCCACCCTTCCCTGCAAGTCGGAGAAATGTGTGACCAAATGACTGCCATTTTCAGAGGGCACTGAATGCTTGAGGAACTTCTTAAGGAAAGTTGGATAACCTCGTTGCCGCTAACTCTCAAATTTGTAAAGTTCGTCCAAAAGCATCATGACACTGTAGACGCAGAAAGTGTTGCCAATCATTTGACCCCCTAAAAGCTCTTCCTTGAGGGTGAAGTCCCTTACCGGCCTGATCGGTGACCATGCGCTGCAAGTCATAGTTGTAAAGCTGAAGTCGACACGAGTCTGCTTCCCAGACCACAGAATCTTGCTGGACACCGGCTGGAGCTTGAGGTGGCTTGCGGTGGGGAATGGGGCGAGTGAAGATTTGACTTGACGAGTGAAGATTGGCAGCCAAAAACCTGGGCAAGTGCCCCAAGAACATCCTAAAATTTTGCTTACCTTGCTTATTTGGGAAAATCCACCCGAAGCACGCCCCACGGTCAATCAAACATTCTGGGTCAACAGCTCCCACTGCCCAAGAGACCCACAGAAGCCGCGGTCGCCCAACCCAAGTGACATGTTTGGCGTCCACCAAATAAGGCTTCAACTGTAGAGCTTGATTGAACAACAACAGGCTTTGCTCGGACATCGAAAAGACGCTTGCCACCAACAACTCCACGGGAACAGAAAACGCTTTACGAAGCAAGCTCAAAAGCCTGGGAATTTCAAAGAAGAGGCTTCATCTTGAACCTGCCAACCCTTTGCGGTCTGCGTTTAGCGGCACCCAGATCCTGACACGAGCTGCCACCCGCTAACACCACAAAGTCCAGTCTGCGACCATCGGAGGCTGCAAGTTGTGAAATCAACTTTTCGTCAAATTTTGTCACATCCCGCAGTTCGAAGACCCGCGCCAACGGGTTCGAGTCAAGCGAGCACAGTGGAGGTGGCGAAGCATAACCTTGCACAACACAAGGAAGTCGTCCTCGAGCACACATCAGAGCCCCAACCCCGTCCAAGAGAGCGATCACCAAGATTCTTGGTCCGGATAAGTTTGGGGCTGCAACAATGCTGCCCTGGGGTTTGAATGCTTCATCGTCAAATCCAGATTCCAAAGCTGCGGCGCCATACGACGTAAGCCCAGCGGAAGAAGTGCACATACCCCCCCAAGAGTGGAGGCGTCAGAACAGGTAACCGATCCCTAAACAGGAGTACGGAAATTAATACACACAAGCGGCAAGAGTGCAACGGCTTCTAATCTCCTCTTTCCCTCTTTCTCTGCAGCGTGAGCCCGAGGGCGGCACCACATGAATTTCGGCCATATCGAATTCTTGAGTCCCATGAGCGGCCTGCGAAATTTGAAGCACCGTGTAAGTCAGCCCAAACAGCACCATCAACATCCAAGGCGATATCACAGGTCCAAGCCACACTGCCAGCCACCAAGCCTCCAGCATTTTTCCGGTCAGAGCAGAGAGAAAACCCATCTAACACCGTCCACGGCTCACGGACGCGGGCCTTCTTTTCCGATACACCCACGCCAATCCGTTTGTGAGCTGCCCTTTGCCTAGCCTGGGTTGGCGACATGGTGCCCACCAATGATTTCCACTTGTGTCGCGGAACCTTTGCAGGGCAATCAAAAT